AGAGACAAAAAATCAAATAAGCAAGAGATTATCAAAGAAACAATGCATCAAATTTAGAAAATTCATTCAATAAAAGATACTATGGACAAAACCAACAGAAAGATGACAGGCCAAGAGAAGGTATTTTTCAATCCTATAACCAATAAATCTCCACAAGGAACTCCTGCAAACCAAAAAGAAAGACAGGAAGGGGAGCTCCCTGGTGGCTTAATGGTTAGGATTCTAGGCTTTCCCTGCCCTGGCCTGGGTTTAATCCTTGTTTGAGGAACTAAGATTCTGCAAGCTGCATAGAAGTGTGCAGCCAAAAAAAAAAAAAGAAAGAAAGAAAACCCAAAAGAAAGATAGACAAAGGACAAAACAGACAAATCAACAAAAGGGAAAACCTGAATGGATACGAGATGCTCAAATTCATTAATTATCAGAGAATGTAAACTAAAACAAAAAGACATCATTTTAAACCTGACTTGCAAAAATAAAGAAGTTGGATAAAACCAAATACTGGCAAAGATATGGGCAAACAAGAACCCTCCTCACTGCTAGAAGGCACATAAGCTAGGCCTTCTATTCTATAACCCAAGAATCCCAGTCCTGGGCATATATCCCAGAGAACTTCTCACACTGGTCCATAAAGATGTACAAGGAAGAGTATATTTACCACAGTGTACTTGTGATGCCAGAAAGGCAACTCGGGTGTTAGTGACTAGGGAATGAGTAGTTAAAATGTGGTATGTGCGTATTATGAAATTCTACATTATACACAATTATACGTACACACAAAACAGAAAGGTCTCCAAAACAATGTTGAGTAAAAACAGTAAAAAGTCACACAAGGTCTATAACACAATACAATAACTAAATATACATACACACAACACACTACATATTTCATGATTCATATATAATCAAGGAATGTATCAGCCATAATGCAGTAGGTAACTACCAGAAAAGGTAATGCAAGCAGGGCTCAGAAATCAAAGAGAAAAATTTAAAGGACCTTGTATAGTCTGATGATAGTGTCCAAAAATGGGAAACATAGTTAAGCATAACTCTTTTTACCTAAAGCCCTAATAAAAAATTTCCCAAAACTAAAGGACACATATCCCCAGCTTGTAAGGACCCAGAGTGCCCTTAAAAAGGGAAAGAAAAAAAAAAAAAACAAAAAAACCCCACATCTAGACACACTATGGAATTTCAGGGGTTTAGAATGAAATTCTAAAAGCTTCTGGAAATTGGGAAAAAGGCAGGGAAGATCACATAATAAATGAAGAATAAGAATGGCTATGGATTTCAATGGCAACATTAGAATGCAGAAAATAATGGAACTATGACTTCCAAACTTTTTAAGCCTAGATTTTTATACTCAAATGATCGATGACATGTATAGGTAAAATACTTTTTTTCAGCCATGAAAGATCTGAAAACCATAAAGTTTTTGCTTCCCAGGTACCCTTTCTCTGGAGGTGAAAAAAAAAAAAAAAACATGGAAAATTGGAGATCCAATATCAGAGAAGGGCACAGAAAATTTTAAGGTGACATAAAGAGAAGTTTCAGAGTGACGGCTGTGCAGTAAGCCTAGAAAGTAATCAGTACATACAAATTGCTTTAAAAGGATAGAAGGTTCTAGGACAGCTGCCTCAAATGGAAAAGGGAAACTAGATATTACTACTGGAAAAACAAAAATTGGTTAAGAGAAGAAATGGTATCATAATATACTGCAGAGTCTGCTATAATTATTTACATAGTTGTAACTGAATGCTGACTTAATAAACATCTAAATAAATATATTTAAAGAATATGTGTAAATGTTGAAAGTCAATAGATAATGCCTAAAACTGCTGTATCAAGAAACAGCAATAGAAGCAAGTTATTTATAAGTATGAAAGAGTAAACAGCTAAAAGAAATAAATAAGTAGCCTCTAAAGTGAAAAGACTGGGACAGGGAACAGTTGTTTTACAGATACTATCCTAATTCAAAAATTGTATTTTTTATTGCTAGTAAAGCAATAGCCTTTCAGCTTTTAGTACAGTAGATCTCCACAATATTATTTCTTGGTGTTAAACAAACTATATCTAATTTGAGGAGAAGACTGAACCACAAACCAAAACAAAATCAAGCTTTAATGATGATGAGAACATAGTACAAATAGCCCTGAGATTGAATCCCAGCTCCACCACTTAACTCTGTGAAGTAGGACAAGTTACTTAACCATCCTATACATGTAACCACCTTCTCAATGTGGTTCTGCAAGGATAATTAGGTGAAAACACCTGATGTAGGTGACCCATCAACAGATGTTAGAGCAACTTTTGCTTGTCTTTCTGCTCCCTAGCTAAAAACCCCCATTTTGACCCCAAGCTCCCTTGCTGGTCACACAATACAAAGACTCATGGACAACTCAGCACATATCCCTTCTCACACTGAAAAATCAATCATGATGAGTAAGCAGACTTATCTTTGTATATGAAGTGCAGCATTATTCTTGCTATGTGAAGGAGATTATCCTCATTATCCACATTTTGGATTATTGCCTGCTTTCAAACACCGTTCCAATTAGTCTAATACACTAGATCAGAACTATTTTATCACTAAGGTCTGTTGTGTAGGAGCATTATCAACTTCAAAAACAAACAAACAAAAACTGTATGTTCCATCAGTCTTCATCCCTGCTCTGTCACTGCAAAGACTTAAAAATTTTCTAATGATGGTCCTATCTGGCTCCCAGCTGGCTTGGGGCCACCTCCTACTTACTGCAGCAAGAATAGAGTGAAAACAGCCCCAGTCAGCTAATTGAATTGTTTACCATTTTCAATGTTTTCTTCCATTATTATGTCTAAATTCAGAATACCCTGCAAAATACAGAAACCTTAAAGAGAGTAACAGGGAATTATCTTTATCATTATGCCAGTCACCTTTACTTGCATGGCCAAAAGTCTTAACTGATTTTATACAGAGCATACATACTTCTATAAACAATCTGACAGACTTAAAAACAAATTCATAAATTATCAAGACTTTATCATTAATTCAACAAACACTATGCTAACATACTGTAGATAAAATATATAAACCCTACTCTCAAATGAGAGAGAAAAGGTAAAAATAAAATTGAGAGCAACAGAGAACAAGTAGTCCAGGAAACAACTCAGAGCAGCAATTCCAGACAATCTGGTATAGTTTATAACACAGTCAAGGCTAAGGAAAATTATGAAAACTACCAAAGGTGAACACAGCTCTGAGCCTCCTGATAGCCAAAGCATAAAGAGAAACAGGATGGCTTACAAATAGAAATGATCTAATAAAAGCAGTCATTTGTTTAAATTTTTTTTTTAAAGCAAAGAAAGATAACAGAAAGGCCTGTCACTGAGGGCTTAAAAGAACTTGTCTTTAAGGTTTATACTTTATAAGGATCAGTAAATAAACTATAAACAGTGTCTTTGATAGCAAGGAAGAGTTTTTTCATCTTCCTTTTCTCATGTTCCAATCCTAGATAAAAGTCAAAGTACAAAATTTTAACTCAGTTCTGTGACAGAATTTCTATAAGGATCTAAAGTACCATAATGCAAGTACACTAACTTCAGGTGAAGTGTTAAGTTCTATCATTTAGCTTAGTCTAGGATTTTATAAATGCATGTTTTGCTTCTCTACCAGACTGTAAACACTCAAGGCTTACGTTGCTTGGTTCCATTTGAACTTCCTTTGCTTTTCAGTACAGCTCCCGCTCAATTATAATGACAGATAAAATGTTATGCAGTCAATATTTATAGTCATTATTTGTTAGTCTTCTCTGCAACACTATAAATTCCATGAGGACAGGAACAGTGTCTTGATCACGTCCACATCCTCAGTCTCTGAGCATGTGAATGGGCCAAAAATGAATGGGCCAAAAAAAGAAAACACAACCAAGAAGTATGAAAGGAGAGGAGAAATAATTCCTAAAATGGCAGTGATTCTGGTTCTAACAAGAGCTGGAACACCTAGGTAAGTTACTTAACTTCTCTAACCCTCAAAGCTTTAATCTGCAGAAAAGGAAAAAAAAAAAAATAACACACTTCAGAGTTACTGTAAGCATTAAACCTTTTACTCTACAAAAAGCATTTATTTAGCACAGTATCTGGAAAAAGGCCCATTAAACGTTACCCCTTTAACTTCTCTCAAGTTCTCCAACTAAAAATCCGGTGTTAAACACAATAGTGCCATCAAAGAATAAATTATTTCAGTAAAAGTGCAACAGAGTTCATCCTTCCTTTCCTTTGAAGTTGAAATTTCATCTCTTCAATCTTTAAAATGGAAGGGGAATAGTTTGTGAATTACTTTCAAAATATTACAAACTCAAGAACAAGTAAAGGAAAAAATGTCACTAATAAGCCTTGAAGTAACACGAAGGGGGAAAATCACTTACTCATCTACTACTAAGAAACAGGTTTTTAAGGAAGTGTTTATTAAAGGAAAAGAGGAGTGAAAAAGTTAGAAATGTTATTTAATAATATGCTTAGAAAAAATTACTTCCAAACTGTTTATTCAGAATTTAAACCTTAAAAATGAATTATCTTGACATCGTTTGCTTAAAAGCGGAATATTAAATACTCCCATTCAAACCGAAAACATTCCTTCATGACGGCTTCCCGGACTCCAGTCATCCTTCAGTTCTCTCCTCCCATTTTGAGCTTCCCTCGCATCACCACTGACACACGCTGTGTGCAGACTAAGTTCTGTCATTCCTATAATTACCACACCCTTGTCAGCCGCTTCAGGCCCATGTTGTTATGACATCTGTATGCGCTCCCCACCCCCACCGTCCCCTCCGCCCGCCGCGCGGCCGTTAGGACAACCGGGCCCGTGACGCACGGACGCGCCGCGAGTGTCCAGGCCCAGGAACCCGAGCTCGAGCACACTCGGCGGCCCGCCCTCGCCGCGGGGCCTCTCCCGGGTCCAGCCGAGGACTGCCGGATCAGCCGGCGGGAGGGGGAGGGGTCGGGGGCCGCCACAGCCCCGCACTCACCAGGTTCAAGGCAACCGATCCCGGTGCCACTTCTGGGGTGAGCCTCTGCCTCGCTCGCTCGCTTGCCGTGCGTCTTCTGCACACAACCTCGAAAGAGTCGGCTCGCCCCTTCGCGGTGCTCACCAGGCCTCGCTCGTCGCCTCCGCCGCCGCGCACCCAGCACAGCGAGACCCAGCTCAGCCGGCGTTCGCAGTGCGCCTGCGCGCGGGGGCCGGGCCGCGCGCCTGCGCGTGCTTCTCCACAGCCCTGCTGCAGAGGCTGCCGGGAGATGTAGTCTTTCAACTGTCTTTGGACGCTCTGGCGGTTAGCGGGGAACCAGTGGAGAGTCCGGAGTCCGGGAGAAGGTCCGATTGAGAAGGTTGGCAGTTAATGACAAGGGTTGGAGAGTCATGCTGGAGTGACAATGAAACGGTGGTTCTTAAGTTGAATTGCAAAGTTATGTCTTGTCTTCGAAGCTTTTCCCGGGCGGCGGGTCGATCTTCGCTCACCTCTGTCTATATCTAGCCACTGACACGTTTGTTACCTAGAACACGTTTATTGAATAAATAATGGAATGAATGAAGGCTGAGGGATTTTGACAAGAGTTATAAGTCAGCGCCTCATGGCTAAGGCACTCACATGCAGCACGTTTGAGAAAACTTCTGGGTATATCCTTTTTGGTTCTCTCCCGTCCGCTTTGCCTGGTAATGCACTGAGCAGTATCAGAATTCATTAAGGAATTAAATGAAACATGAATGCTGGCTTTACCCTTAACAAATGCTCTCCAACGAAAATTTGGGGCAAATAATTGTTACTGTTAAATTTAACAGAATTCTCTTTGGGGGATTCTTTTTGACCAGTGGCTTCTAGAGAAAGACTGAAGGCTGCCAAGCAGAGGTCACAGAATATAAAGTCTCACATATAACATGGTTTATCAAATCAACCTAAAACACACACGGAGAAGCAGGGTGAAAGATATGGGGTAACTGTAACATTAGAGCAGGAGAGAGGACCAAACTATGCAGCGTTCATTTGTCCTGAATGTCTTTCTGCCACATCAGTATTTCCCACTAAAGGTGTGTTTTCTAGGATGTGTTGAGTTCGATCAACGGCCCTGGTGAAAGGGAGTGTGTTCTAAGGGAGAGACTTGGCCACGGGGTTGCAAAAGAGTCAGACACGACTTAGCCACTAAAAATAACAAATGCCTCACCACAGCTGAGCTGAGGACATATCACTTTATTCCAATGAGGAGCTAATATTAATATTATTCAGAGCTGGACTTTAGGGTCTGTGAAAACTAGTTTCTTTCCAGTTTCTTTTCACCCTTTCTCCTAGTTAGAGTATACCATGAGGGTCCTGACCAAAAGTCTGGAGTATTTACTAGGGCATCTCTGCCTTTTTGGGGCTTCCCTGGTAGCTCAGTTGGTAAAGAATCCTGCAATTCAGGAGACCCCTGTTTGATTCCTGGGTCAGGAAGATCTGCTGGAGAAGGGATAGGCTACCCACTCCAGTATTCTTGGGCTTCCCTGGTGGCTCAGCTGGTAAAGAATCAGCCTGCAATGTGGGAGGCTTGAGTTCAATCCCTGGGTTGGGAAGATCCCCTGGAGAACAGAAAGTCTACCCACTCCAGTATTCTGGCCTGGAGAATTGCAGAGTCACAAAGAATCAAACGTGACTTTCACTTCACTCTTCCTTTTGATTCAGACTCTTCAATCCCATGAGACAGCCAAAAACTCTACATGGTTTTTCAGCCACCGCTTTCAGCATTAGCAATAACTTCAGGTGGAAAGATAATAGAAAACATCATGCTCACTTCTGATGGGTTCCCTTTCCTTTCTTCCAGATCTTGGACCCACAAGTTCTCACTGCTGTGGTAAGCTCCTCAGTGCCTTAATGTTTATTATATTTTGCCCAGCTGTAATCAGTGGTGGGAAGACTTGTTCAAGACAATAGTAGTCCATTGCTGAAGCAGAATTCCTATAAATATGCTACTTTTACAAAAATGTTATTGTACCATACATAGTGTTTTGTTAGCTAACGTCTCTCTGACTAAATCTTTTTGCATTTAAAAATTTTTAAAGTTTACATTATAGAACAATGGTTTTGCTATTACAAACAATGCTGTTATGAATGGTCTTATATGGATCTTCGTGGGTACAGGGAAACTGCTAGATCCTACGACACTGCATCTTACTAGATGTGCTAGGCAGAATTCTAAGATGGCCCCCATGGTCTTTGCCCTTTGTTTTTGCCTTGCCCTTTGAGTGTGGGCAGGACCTATGACTTACTTCTGGCCAGTAGAATATGGTAAAAATGATTACATTTCATTATATGTCTCTATCTTAGCTGACTAGAGTTAGACACACTGCTGCTGGCCTTTGAAGAAGCAAGCTTTCATGTTGAAAACTGCCTGTGAAGAGGGCCTGGTGGCAGGGAAGTGTAGATGGTTTCTAGAACCTGGGTGCAACCAGTCAGAAGCCTCAACCCTACAACCACAAGGAAATGAATTCTGCCAATAATCTGAGAGAGCTTAGAAGTGGAGTCTTTCCCAATCAAGCCTCCAGAGGAGAAGACAACCTAACACCTTGATTGCAACTTTGTGAGACCTTGAATAGAGGAACCAGTTCAACTGTGCCTATAACCCTAGCTCACAGAAACTGTTAGATAATAAATGTGTTTTAAGACACTGGGTTTCTGGTAATTGTTCCACAGCAATGGAAAACTAATATACTAGATATTGTCAGATTACTTCACAAGTGGTTATGCCTACTTCTACTCCACAAGCAGTGTGGAGTAAAATTCTCTTTTCTGAACATGACTAATTAAGAAAATAATTTGTGTAAAAAAATACAACTTTTCATAACAATATTTTTGTTTCCGTCTGGTTTGGCAACTTATTTTAACTTTTTTTAGAAACTCTTGCATATTCAACTTTTGTAAGCTATATTATAATATATTCTTAAGATACATAAATGAAGGAATTTTGTAAAGGAGAATATAAATACAATAGAACTATTTAAAAAGATATTCTACCTCATTAAAAAAACAATGATATGTTTCTGTCCCATGATAAAATGGGATATTTTTATTCTTTCTTGTTTCCTTTTTCATCAGTATTTCTCTGAACTGCCCAAAAATTTAAGATATGTATTCTTTTACATAATGGTAAAACTGAATATAGCCAAATACAAAATTACTTTTGACTTGCAGCTCTGTTCCTCTGCCTGCATAGTACTAATTCTTGCTATTGTTGGTACAAATGTGTGTTTGAGCAAAGAAGAGTTAGGATTTTAATTATTAGCGCAGCAGGTTTTTAAAATTGTAGGAATTTGTTTCCAATTCTCCCAAATGACCACCGATTTTTGTATCTGCAGACTTTCTTGGTAAATCAACTGTTTGTCAGTCAAGTCCTTTGCATCTGTAAATTCAGTTCAGTTCAGTTGCTCAGCCGTGCCCAACTCTGTGACCCCATGGACTGCAGCACACCAGGCTTCCCTGCTCATCACCAACTCCCGGAGCTTACTCAAACTCATGTCCATCGAGTCAGTGATGCCATCTAACCATCTCATCCTGTGTCATCCCCTTCTCCTCCTGCCTTCAATCTTTCCCAGCATCAGGGTCTTTTCCAATGAGTTGGTTCTTCGCATCAGGTGGACAAAGTACTGGCGTTTCAGCTTCAGCATCAGTCGTTCCAAGGAATATTCAGGACTGACTTCCTTTGGTATGGACTGGCTGGATCTCCTTGCAGTCCAAGGGACTCTCAAGAGTCTTCTTCAACACACCACAGTTCAAAAGCATCAATTCTTTGGTGCTCAGCTTTCTTTATGGTCCAACTCTCACATCCATACATGTAAATTAACCGTCTCCATATCTAAAAAGGCCATTGTTTGTAAAACACTCTGAAGCACGTGTATGTCATCAAAAGTTAGATCTCTCTTCCCCAGGGAAAATGGTTTTAAACCACAGAAGTAATTTGAACTTGTGAAGTTGAAGTTAGATTCCAAATGAATTTACAGTTTTAGTGAAGAAATTCAGAAAATTCTGTTTAATTTGGTTATGTTTTCTTTTTTAAAAAATATTTATTTTTGGCTGAGCTAGGTCTTCAGGATTTTCTCCACTTGTGGCAGGGCACAGGCTACTCTCTAGTTGTAGTGCGCGGGCTTCTCACTGCGGTGGCTTCTCTTGTTGCAGAGTACGGGCTCTGTGACACAGGAGCTTGAGGAGTTGCCCTCACATGGGCTCTAGAGCACAGGCTCAGTAGTTATGGCACATGGGCTCAGTTGCTGCACAGCACGTGGGATCTTCCCAAATCAGGGATTGAATCAGTGTCTTCTGCATTGGTAGGCGGATTCTTTACCACTGAGCTACCTGGAAGCCCTGCTTTTTCCTAAGGACCTTTTTTTTCTTTTAAGTCTGAAACAGTCTTATTTCCAACAAATTGGTTTTTTATTTTTTGAAATTTTGTCACAACATGCATATAATATTGAATAATCCAGGTTCAGTTGGTTCATCCTTTTCTAGACTCCTCTGGGCCTCTTCAAGGATTATTAGACAGTTTTGGAGAACCGGCATGTTAATTTGTTTCACTCTAATTCTCTCCTTATCATATAAATTTACATATTTGGGGGGTAGTCAATACATATACATTTGATACATGTATTCAAAACACACATATTCTCAAGGTTCCATATTGGCACAGGTCTGTTTTGGAGCTTTCTATTCTGTCCAGTTGGTCTCTTTGTCTATCCCTACACCAATAACACATCTTAATTACTGTAGTAATATGATAAGTCATAGTACATTACAGGTCAAGTCACCTCCACTTTGTTTTTCTTCATTAAAATTGTCTTGGATCTTCTTGTACCTTTTTGTTTAATATGTTTTATAATTACTCCATCAGCTCCTATGAAGAAAACCTCTTAAGATTTTGATTGAAATTATATTGAATTGATGAGATTAAATTTTTGGAGTATAGACATCTCTATTACATTGAGGCTTCCTCTTAATGAGATATAGTATCTCTCCATTATTTAGGTCATCTTTGATTCCTTTCAATGATTTTTTGTCATTTTTTCGTGAAATGTTTATATATCTTTTGTAAATTTAATTCTAGTTGTATTATTTTTTCTGTTGCTATAATATTGGTTAAAATTGGTTACATTTACTGTTTCTCATGCATAGAAATGAAATTGATTACATAAATTCCTATTTAGAATTTTGCAGGATGCTTTTATTAATTCTAGTAATTTGTCTCCAGATTTTCTTGGACTTTCTATAGACAATCATATTTCCAGTGATTTAATGACACTTTTGTTTCTCCAATTTTAGTCTTTTGGTTTGTTCTCTACTGTGCTTGACAGGAGCTCTAATACACTGCTAAAGATAAATGGTGATAGGAAGCAGCATTGTCTCATCCTGATTTTGTAGGGAATCACTCTAATGTTTTACCATGAAATATGACGCTTGCTCTAGGTTTTTGGTAGATATCCTTTTATAAATTCTTTATCAGATGATTTCTCTCTACATATTGAAATGAACATAACCTTTAATATAGTTATATAGTGAGTTACATCAATAGATATTCTAAAGTTAATCTGTATTTGCATTTCTGAAATAAACCCAACTCAACCATAATTTATTTATACAGAACTGAATTACATTTATTAATATTTTGATTAGAATTTGTGAATCTATTTATGTAAGTGAGTATCTGTACTTTTCCTATCTTGTACTGTTGTCTATCTTTTGGTATCATGGTTAAACTAACTCTGATTCTTTTTTGCCTCTTCTCCAATTTGCCTTTTTTTGGATTTTTTAACTACTTTTTCTTTTTTGTCTACTATTTAGAAGTTAGGTACATTACTTCCTTCAGTGGCTGCCCTTAAATTTTAATCTACATAATAAACTTAATAATACTAATCTCTTGAACAACACAAGGACTTTAAATCCCTTTTAACTACTTAAATGTATTCATTACTCCACCATTTTACTTTTTTACATGGTTCTTTTTTCTCAGTGTTTTATTTCAGTCTTATTTAATCTCCAAGTTATTAATTGTTTATATACAATGATTATTTACCATTTACATACTTATCATTTTTTGTTTATCCTGCCTTCTTGCAGCCTAGATTTTTGTGTTTTCCACCTCCTCCCTGAATCATATCCTTTAAATATTAACTTCCTTAATGAAAGTTTATCTACTGTTGGTAAATTCCATTCTTGATGGTCTGAGAGTGTCTTTATTCAAAAATTAAGGCAAAATAAAAGTTTGGCTAATTATGGAATTCTAGGTTAACAGTTCATTTTTCTCAGCCCTTTGAAAATATTACACTAATGCCTTCAGGCTTCAGGATTAGTTTTCTATTACTGCCATAACAAATTAGCACAACTTTAGGGACTTAAAAGAGCACAACTATACTGCTTCATAGTTCTATAGGTCAGAAGTCATGTGTAGGACTCACTGGGCTAAAATCAAAGTGTTAGCAGGCTTCACTCCTTTCTGGAAGCTTTTGAGTCCATTTCCTCGTTCACTCCAGGTATTGGCAGAATTCAGTTCCATGCAGTTAAAGGATTAAGATCTCAGTTTCCTTGCTGGTTGTCAGTTAAAGGCCACCCTTAGCCCCTAGAAGCTTCTCACTGGTCCTTGCATATAGTCCCCTACATCTCAGAACAAGCACAGGGCATCAAACTCTTCTCATGCTGCCATCCCTTAGGTGATTAGACTAGGCCCACCTGGATAATCCTGGTAACTCTTCCCATCTGAAGGGTAACTTTAATCACATCTGCAAAATGACTTTTGCCATGTAAGGTAATATATTCACAGATTCAGAAGGTTAAGGTATGGACATGTTTGCAAGGGCAGAGGGAGGACATTATACTGCCTACAACAAGAAATATGTTGTCAGTCTAATTGTCATTCCTTTGTAGGTGACTTGAATGACTGTTCTCTCTGCCTGCTTTTAAGTTCACCTCTTTGGTGGCCTACAGTTTCAATGTTTCTTGGTATGAATTTGTGTGTGTTTTTTTTCTTATCCTTGTGAACACTGCCTGTCCTCCATCATGTTTTGAAATCTCTGTTAAACATAAGCTAGATATTTCAGATCAGTCCTCTCACCCTTGGCTTTGTATCACAGCCTCATGCACAGACCTGTGAACACATCAGCCCTCATGTCCAAGCTCCATTCCTGAAAACAGTCACCCCATGACCATTCCTGATGTAGGCTGTGGAACAGTCCACCCTTGGAAGGAACCACCTGAGGAAGAGGCCCAATCAGGCCCTAGAAAGACTTGGAACTATTTAGCCAGGAAATTAGAATTTCCAGGTACCTAGTAGGTGGCTTAGAAGTGAGGTGTGCGGGTCCCAAATGGACACATTCGCTTGACCCCATGCATTCCTCACCTTGTGGAGATAGACATGGCCAGATGGAGGTCAGAGTGAAATCCTCTCAAACTGGAAGTCCATGGTGGGATGCCTCTTGCCCCAAATTCAAGGGCAGTACCATACGAGAAGATAAATATGCTTCTTTCAAGATGAAGAATGCTGGTTAAAGTAAGATGAGGAAGAAGAAGTATTCTAGATAAGAGGTTGAGGATAGGAGGGTCAGGAAAGTCTGGAAGTGTAGAGAAATATTGATCTCAGAATAGGAAAGAGACACCTGCTGAGATTAGCTGGCTACTACATGGCAGAAATCTGAAGTCAAGTATGAGCGCAGTCAGTAGATTCAGGCTTTTTAAGAACTCTGCACAAGATACTCTTGCAACTCTGCTCCCAGTGTGCTCTATCCTTAGTTTACCTAACTTAAAAATTCTTCAGGTCTCAACTTGAGTTTCATTTTCTTTTAGAAGGACTTCCTCCCAACCCCAGATTCATGTATCCCTCTCCTCAAATTTTTCCAAAGAATTTGTAATTCCTCTTTGTTATACCAAGTCACACTTGTTAAGCTGTCCATAGCTGCCTTTCTGATTATTTAGGTTGGAGGCTTTAGGAAGACATTTGTCTTGTCCAGCATCATATTCCCAGCACCCAGAAAGTGACTTAAACACATTAGTGACCAAGATATATTGGATGAATTAATTTTGCCTCATGGTGCTTGAGTGGCATTGGTTGAAAAAGCTCAATCCAAAAAGGGGATCAGTAGAATATCAGCCTTCTGGTATCCTTCCACTCCAAATAATTTCATTTTACACATAATTTTCAGAGCCAGTTACTTTGACAAAGGTGTTTATTTTTATATCCAAAGCACTTTGTAAGACTTTCTGGAAAATCTGAAATCATCTTGCTGTCTTAATATGTTACACTATTATCATTTTACAAAATAAAAGGATTTGGATTATATACTGGAAAATGTCTTCACTACATATAAAGCATATTTGCTGTTACCTACGGTAAAGAAGATGAAAAGACAACTTGAAGGAGAGGGCATAGTCCTGAAAGTGTTTTAGTTGGTATCTATCCACCCCAACCGCAAGAGACAGAGACAAAGATGAAGGCACTAAGATGCTGGTTTGTAGCTGATCCTTCAGCTACATAAAGACAGTCCATAAAGACAACCTATTTGACATATTCAAACCATTCTTTGAGTCACCGATGGTTATTATTTGATTAGTTCCTCCAAAGCAAGGTCATTTTTGTTGTTCAAATAATGTAGAGGTTAATCAACAGAGCTGCCACTTGAGAATATCCTGTAAGACTGCTGTGGAGAGTGCATCATTTGTCCTGAGTAACCCTGTACATGATCCTGGATGCAAGTCCACAAATACTGGGGCACAGCCTGTGTGTTACTAAAAATGACAAAGGTTTCAGGGCTGGAAACATTGTCAACCACACTGTCATGGCTATCTATGGCTCCAGGATGCAATGGTGGGGGAACAATATTTAACTGATTACCCTGGCAGAAGGAGCCTGTGAGTACTTCAGCTTCAAACACACAGATTAGCTTATCTGTGGCAGATGTTTTCTTGATCCTATGTGCTATGTTTTTGAGGTTCTTGGTGAAGTATATTCCAGCTCCATATTTTTGGTCTGATAAGAGAAAAAATAAAGATTATTATGATCTGACAAACTGTATTGCCTATTTGGGTACTAATATGTATTCACTTGCTAGTCCTCCAAATACCAGTTCCTGATCTCAAGTCCCTGTGTCTGAAGCGAAGACACCCAAAGTTGTTCAGCGGTGACAAATTATCACTAATAGGGCTTCCCCGCTGGCTCAGTGGTAAAGAATCCTCCTGCCAATGCAGGAGACATGGGTTTGATCCCTGATCAGGGAAGATCCCTACATGCCACAGAGCAACTAAGCCTGTGTGTCACAACTATTGAGCCTATGCTCTGGAGCTGGGAGCTGCAAATACTGAAGCCCACACGCCCTAGAGCCCATGCTCCTAAGATAGCCACCGCGATGAGAAGCCTGCACACTGCAACTAGAGAGTAGCCCCTGCTCGCTGCAACTAGAGAAAAGCCTGTGCAGCAACAAAGACCCAGGGCAGTTTTCCTGGTATCCCTGAAATCATGCCATGTAATCGTTCACCTGCCCTATTACTTCTGGCCCTTGAAACACACCCATAGTGAGGAACAGAAAAGTCTCTAGATCTGCAGCTTGAAGTCACTTTACTGCGTATGAGGAAGTGTCCTAGAGCTTGGGTATGATGCCAGGGCCTAAAACCCTGCCTTGTCGGTTAGAGATGATGGGTGAATATTAGAGAAAGAAAAGGTGTCAGGTTTACTGGGCCTCAGGCACAGTCAAAGTCTGACCCCATCACATCCCAACCCCACAGCTTGACTTCAGACCAAGCCCTGAGGCAGTTACTGAATGAACTGGTGCTGCAGCTGAAGCTCCAATACTTTAGCTATCGGGTACGAAGAGCCAACTCATTGGAAAAGACTCTGATGCTGGGAAAGATTGAAGGCAAAAGGAGAAAGGGGCAGCAGAGGATGAGATGGTTAGATAGCATCACTGACTCAGTGGACATGAGTTTGAGCAAACCCTGGAGATAGTGGAGGACAGGGAAGCCTGGCATGCTGCAGTCCATGGGGTTGCAAAGTCGGACATGACTGAATGACTGAACAACAACAAGGGTTTATCTAGCAGAGGACACTTCTTTCAGGCACCTGCAGTTAAGCATTCTCACCAGACACATTGGCACAAGTCACATTATGAGTAGTATCTCCCCACTGAATCTACCGTCTGATTTGCCTCAAAGTAGTGGCTGTTACGCTAAAGGCTGGGGAGACGAACAGAGCACAGAGGCCAGTAGGTAAAAGACTGGAATCTTGAGGCTTAAAGACTAGATGGAGACAGGATCTTTGGCTGGGTTAAAAAGACACAAACTTGGCCAGAAACAAACAGGCCTCATGCTGCTTAGTTTTTAAAGGAGCTGTATGGCTGAAAAAAAACCCCTACAAGTCCGGCTATCAGAAGCCTGGGAGCATTCTAGACCCCTGGGGCAAGCCATGGACCCCTGGTGAGCAGTGCACCTAGAACTGACCAAAGGCAGCAATACAAAATGAAGATTTCCCCAGAGTGCAAACAAGGGTCTTACTTCACTCCCCGAATAGAGTTCTTACTATTCCAGTTCAGCAGCATGTGGTTAGTGGTACAGACCAGTGACTTGTGTGTTTTCCTTCTCCCCTTTCGAAATGCGGAGTTTTTATTGCAATTTTCCTGCTCGCTCTCACATCATTATACAATGAGTGTATTAGGACGATTGCTTTGCCTCTAAGCTTTAAGAGAAGATTGCCTGAACTTGAGACTGATGATGAGACAAGATGAGTGTCTAGGACTGTCTTCCTTGGGAAAATAGTGTGTGTCTTAGCTGTTTGGAGAAGAAATATATACAGATATTGGGTAGGCAATTAGCAGTACCTGTCACAGAACTGAAAAGAAGGCACTTGCTGGATTTGAAAAATAGGAGGATCTTGATCCTTTTAGAATAGTTTAAATTAAAATAGAAGGGGTAGTGGTGGAGTGCAGAAGAGCCAGTTACAATGGGTTTAGAAGCAAATGGGAGTTGTGAATTTTTAAGAATTTGCCAATGAAAGGATCATTCTGATTATCACTTTCCTGGTTATACTCAAAAACTTCTTGGTGAGGATTCATTTATCAGTTTGTATTCCCAGATGAAAAATTGTTCATATTCAATTTTTACCCTTATTGCTTACGGTATTGCTTATGTTTTCTCTGGGGCAGAGAAGATGATTCCCAGACCCTTTCTTTGCTTTCCAGAAATCACGACTTGGAGTAGGCTCTACAACAAGGATCATGCTACATATTTGGAAGGTAAAGATCAAGAGCTACATTTTTTAATGGACCAGGCAAAATCAAGCTGCATTGCCAGGTATCCTCTGTGATGGCTACAAAAACTTCTTACCTTCATCTGGAGAGATTTAAAGTGGAAAATACAGAGGTAAAATATGCAATATTTTTTTATAACTGAGACATAGAAGCTACTATACATAGAACTCCCATAACTGAGAAGGAACTTAAAATATTCATTTCACCTGCCAGATGATGCCTAATTCATTTGCTAGCAGCTACAGGAAATGAAAAGGATGGAAGAGAAAAGACCAACTTTATTAAATTCAGGAAAATGCTCTTTTAATTAAGGTGGAAGATGGCTTGGTAGTGTTAATAATAATTTTTTGTCAAGATAAGAAAAAATCTCCAGGGTACTCTCTGTAGAGGCCACAAACACAGAATGGGGAAAAACAGTGAACTGTAGTTCTTTTTTTTCTTTTGAACTGTAGTTCTTACTGCAAACACTTTCATCAAAATAAAACCCACCAGCCACAAAATAAATAAAAGATAAATTTTAAATATTACCCTTTCCAAATGACTTTACCACTAAATCCCAGGTGTAGATGACATCCTCACTGAAGGAACAAATGCTATTAGTGGTGAGTCACCTGATGATGTCTGCTTGCCAACTCCCACATACAGTAACCCAACTATGAGGGGCTGACACCTACCGCAGGGCACGGAGTACACTTGGTGAAAGCCAACTCTGCATACCATTTTGCAGAACTGATGTGGGACTTGCTGAAACAATCTGTAGCTCACAGGTTTTCCAGGGGTTCTCCCTTCCATCATTTTCTTCCTTTCTTGGAAGGCAGCCATGAGAAGCACATTGTCTATCTTCTCTACCTACAGCCCAAGGAAATGAAAAACTGAAAAAGATGCTGGAGAAATGCTACTTAAATTGCCTGATACTCTAATTCAAAAAGAAAAGCACTTATGTGTTTATTACTTTGCATGTGATTTGCTTTTCATATAAAGTTGCAGAAGAGTCTCTGCTGACTCCAACTTTCTCCTATTTTGACTTTTATCTCTTCAAAATTCCCTGTCCCTTCTTTAATAAAAATTAACTGAGCCATTGCTATGTGCCAGAAACTAGTAATGAAATAGACAAGTGCAGACACAGTCTTTGCTCTCCTAAAGCTTATAGTTTTGAAAGTGAAGTCGCTCAGTCAGGTCTGACTCTTTGTGACCCCATGGACTATAGCCCACCGGGCTCCTCCGTTCAAGAGATTCTCCAGGCAAGAATACTGGAGTGGGTTGCCATTTACTTCTCCAGGGGATCTTCCCGACCCAGGTATCAAACCCGGGTCTCCCGCATTGCAGGCAGACGCTTTAACCTCTGAGCCGCTTATAGTTTAGTGAGAGATAAAAATAGGTAAACAATTACAATACAGTGTGATAAATGCTACTTTTATCATATATATTTTATGTGATATATATACACATATATATTTTATGTAATAAAACATTTTGTTTCAAGATAGGCAGATAGCTTTTCTCTGAGTCTTGACCTATGCTTCTATACATCCTAACATTACTTCTACCACTTGATTCCAACAATACCCCTCATCCCTACCCATCCCTGCCCTCCTTTCAGACGAACTCCTAGGATTGCAGAACAATGAGCAACTAGCTTAGTCATCAGTGGGTACGTTTTTCTTCTGGCTGTGGAACCAAATGATAGCAAGATGAGTCAAATTCTCCCCTTAATTAAGTATACCTTTATAACTCGCAAACCACAGTCTTCAAACTGTTTTTTTTGATCCTGAATTTCTGGAGCTGAAAGTGTTAGCCATTTCAGAAATGTATTTTCCTTCATTTGATTCTGGTTCTCTGGTTGCTGATCAGTGTGCTGCCCTAAAAATAAGTAACATAAAACTTTGTCTCAGTGATCTATGAGAGGAAAAAGTTTGTAAAGAGATTAAATGAGGGAATTTCCTGGTGGTTCAGTGGTTAGGACTCGGTGTATCCACTGCCAGGGCCTGGGTTCAATTTTTGGTTGAGAAACTAAGATCCCAAAAGCGGCACAGCCCAGTCAAATAAATAAATAAGCAGAAATTAAATGAAATAAATTAAAAAATTTGGAGGAGAAGATTAGCAGTTTAATTTGTATGCCTCATGTGTTTATGGCATGCAATGACAGCTATAATCCCATGAGAAATCATAGGATAAAATGGGGGGTGGGTAATAAATTTTTCCTCAGATTGATTTAGATTATGAAGTTGAGGGGATAAGAGAAAAAAGAGCATTAATATATATTTTCCCTATCAATGCTGTAATGATAATGTATAGTTGTTTTGCTAATAGGAAATGTTTGTATTTCTTGCCAGGAGGCCAATCAACAAAAAGAGACAAACATAAGAAAATATTAAGGAGTGATGGAAAACAATAAGACATTTATGTAACACTTCAAAGTTTTCAAAACAGTTTCATATCTCTACCTCATTTGAGTATTACAACACCACCACTGAAATAATTAACACAGTTTTACAAACAGGAAAATAGAAACTCAGATTAGTTAAGTGACTTGCTCAATAACACAAAGCTAGTAAGTACAGATCTAAGGTTATAAACCTGGCTTTCCCCAGTGCTTTCTGTAAGGGGCAAGGCAGAATATTTAGTTCATGTTATTCATATGCCACCCAGCCAAGGAGAACAAAATTTGGAGATTGAGTTTATGGTGTAATGTCTTTCCTACCTTCCTTCCTTTTCCCTCTTTTTCTTCCTTCTTTCCTTCCTTAATTTCTTTCCTTCATTCCAATTTTACATTTAAGGGACAACCTTTTATCTTCCAAAGGAGCTCCTTATTGGACTAAATATCTATACATGGGTGAACAAATGAAAACCTGCCAAAAGGCTTCTTTTCATTCAGTTTACTTTCTGTTTGACTTAAGACTGAATATACTAAAATGACCTAATCCCCAGCACATTATGTAATTGAGTAGGCTCAATTTAACCACAAAAAACAGGTGATAAATTCAGAGAAACTCATGGAGAGGGCCAAGTTGTAACTCTGGAAAGCAAGAAAGCAGGAGGGACATAACTCCATAGCAGAGAACTCCCATGCCAGGACATTTCAAAGAAAGAGTCTGTAAGTTAAATGTGGAGAGTTGTACAGCAGAAACCAATACAACACTGTAAAGCAATTATTCTCCAATGAAAAATGAAAAAAATTAGATCATAGCACTCATTGTACAACTCTGTATATATACTAAAATCCATTGAATTGTATACTTTGAATGAATGAACTTCATGGTATATAATTATGTATTAACAAAATTATTTAAAAATTGAGGTAACTTCCAAAATGAAATAAACTGACTGGCAAATGACAAAAAAAAATCTGGAGAGTAATGATTCACATTTATAAAGTACAATATTGTTGCTGTTGTTTAGCCACTAATTAGTGTCCGACTCTCTGCCACCCCATGGACTGCAGCACACCAGGCTTCCCAGTTCTTCACTATCTCCCCGAGTTTGCCCAAACTCATGTTCATTGAATCAGTGATGCCATCTAACCATCTCAAAGTTCAACAAACATTTACTGAGTTCCTATTACATGCCAGGCACTGGGCTGGGCACTGGAAACTCAAAGATCCACAAACTCCTGCTATCAGGAACACTCACCAGGAAAGATTAAAAGAGCACCATAAAAGAGGAGATGCCTAACTTCTATTATTTAAAACATACTGTTCATGTGGATAGCTGATGTTCCCTGTAGTAAGAACTCATTTCAAAATTGTCCATTTTATTAATGAAGATCTTAACCTGATTAGAAGGGGCTGAGGGCTTATGAACCTCTGAAACACTGCTGTGGAATAATATGCTTAGTCACCAACTACCAAAAAATGCCACCTTGCAGCACAGCAGGGGACTTACATGACTCAATTGCCAGTAGCTGGGAAAGTAGGCCGACTTTATGAATGAAGTTAATGTCACAAGCTTTATAGGAGATCAGTATTATTTTCAATCTTGTTCTCTTAAGAAGTATCAATGTCAGTTTAAAGACCCACATTCACTACATTTCAAAAGCTCAGTAGAAATCATAATATTGGGTCTCATTCTTGAATATTACTTTTGTCCATGTTTTTCGACACTGGGTTTTCTGTGGAATATGGATTCAACATTTATTGTGAACTCCCACTCACTTCGACTATATCTGCCTGAACTGTTTTTACAAACACATGGTGAAAATAAGCTATTCTTTGAAATTACACATCTGAATTTTTGTACTAAATTCATTCTCCACATTACAACCAAAGATCTTTCTAAAATACAAGTTTGACCTTGTCTTTGCTTAAAATCATTTAAGGTTCTCCATGTGTTTCAATAAAAAACTTTGAATATTTTCATGTGATTTATAAAGTCTTGCATAACCTAGGCCTAGCGATGGTCTGATTTCTTGAAAGTTCTTTCTTTGTTTACTAACTCCTACCTAGTCTTCACTTCTCCATTTGCAACACCTCCCCTGAGAAGTTTACCCCTTACGTCCCAAGTATGGGTTAGGAGCCTCACCTAGTTTCCATAGCACTTTCACCTTCCTGTTTCATAACTAACCTGCTTACATTAGTCAAATAAATGAAAAAATTAGCCTCAGTCTCCCAAGGCAGTATTTTTAATGGTATAATTTCCTAGTGAGCTCTAGGACTAAGTTAAAGGATCTCTCGAGACCCAAATTCTCACAGTTATCCTGATGGATTTTGCCCCATTGAATGAGTGATGCTTGACTGGATCTCACAGTACCAATGAACAATTTACTCTGGTGAGAAGGCACAAAGTAAGTAATTTTAGGGCTCTTAACTCTGCCAGCAATAAATAACTCCAATAAAACTCAAAGAAATGAATTAAATAAGTGGAATGTGTTTGTATCTGAATGTTCCATCTGCAGAATTAGGGATGTACTTTTTTTCCTAGAGCCTGGGCTTGGGATACCCTGGGCTTTGCATGTAGTTGCCTCTTAAGCAATCCATGTCATCATCAGTAAATCCAATTGTGTATGTGTGTGTGTGTGTGTGTGTGTGTGTGTGTGTGTGTGTGTTTTCATTTACTAATAATTAACCTTGCTGGTAGAGTCAAAAAATGGTTATAAAAGTTTATGGCCCAACACAG